TACACAAAAATGAAAATCAGCTCCCACTCTTCTAAAATATTCGAAATAACTAAATATAAATAACTAAAAATAGTAAATGTAACTTTTTGTTAACAGTAAAGAATTGCCTTTAATGACATTCACAACTAGCACACTACAAAATCAACAATATTTACGACGAACAACTTTTAAAGGGTTCATTATGTTTAACACATGGAGCCATCACAGCATTTATACTCTGTGCGGCTTTCCCTCAGTCTGGCCAGCTCTGTCAACATGCTCAAACATCAAGATGACAACACCACTACACTGGGAAGTAAAGAACACAGCTGTTTACAACTTTATAAAATCCTCTTCATGCTGTTTTAAAGCCACAGTAATCTCTTTCTTGTAGTTTTTCAACAATCTGTTGATGATGATATTTATGGCCTAAATAATGGGTAGTCTATAGATGTCTGTTGGCTTACTCCCTACATTTTCCATGCACATCTGTCCACGTAGTTACAAATTTTCCTAGGTGCTCCGTGCAGAAATTTTCTCCGCACAGAGTTCATGCAGAGGGGTGTGGAGGTCTTAAATGCTTTGAGGATGCCTCAAGTATAAACCAATCTTTAATCTGCATTACCAAAACTGTATTATGTAAATTACATTGCTAAGAAATGTACATGAAGGAAATAAATAGAAGGAATCTGTAAAATGTTATAGATAGCATTGCAGTGACATCCCAGTGCGAGCCTTGCAATGACCGCTTCCATTTTAAGTGCATAAAATGTTCCTTAGCAACCACAGAGGTAAACAGTACTCTCATTAGATTTTACAGTTTAGTCTATGATTTTTCAATTCCTAGAAGGCCCTCTATGAAAACATAAAGGCAAAGATGATAAAAAATCTGCAGCTGGGGAACGGTGCCAAGGCGGGAAGAGGCTACAGCTAACAAAGTCTAGCTATAGAGTATAACTGCGGAGGATCAAGGGAGCATTAGGGAAAAACTGCAAGGGTGGGGAGAGGCTAATGCTGACCGAGGCTAGCCTTTGTAATGATCTGGCCCTGATAGCTGGAACCGAGCCCAATATAAAGGAAAAACTGCAAGTGGATGAGATCAGTTATAATTAGAGACCTGGCAGAGTTAGGCAGATGACTGAAATGAACAATTAAGGCCAGCCGTCAGGGCAGATCATGACAGAGTCGTCCCCCCCCCCTCCAAAGGGTGGATTCCAGATGCCCAACCAGACTAAGATACCTTGAGATGAAAAAACAAACAAACACATAAACTAGGCAGGAGAAAGAAAGCAGACTTCTGTCATGATCTGGCCTGATAGCTTCACCCTAATTATTAATTTCACTTACCTGCCTAATTCTGACAGGTTCCTCATTTAATGTTTCCTCCAGAAATTCTGGTACAACGTCTGGTCTCTGTTCTCTCAACCTCTGAGCCTACCCGTCTGCATCTGAACCTGCCTGTCTGCATCTGTGCATGTTTGTGTGGGCACTCTTCTAGACCCGTCTGACCCTGGACTTGGAACCTGCCTGAACGCACTGTGGACACCTGGAAGTCTAGATCCTTCTGTTCCTGTTTGGGTCGGAACCTCTGATAATTCAAAGTTATTAATATGGATTCCAATAACTATGAATTTCTTTTAAAAATAAATAGAAATGTAGGTATATCACAAAAGAATGATAACATAAATAATGGTCCGTGATAAGATACTGTACATCATTAAGGAATTGTTTTAACAGAAATAAAAGCTTACCAATGGTTCATAGGCCCAAACTAAATGTATAATAACTTGTGGAATGGGGGAATTAGAGAGAATTACAGCAGATTTTTTGTATTAAACCTACTTTAAAACCAAACGATCTCCCCACCATGTGGGACTTAAACCAGCGTCTCCTAGACAACCAGACATTTTCCAAAAGGTTTAAAATAATTGTGTGATCCACTGTGTCAGAGGCTGCTTTTAGATCTTGAAGCACTAAAATAAAAACAATAAACCATCAATCAGTCATTTAAAAGAGATGGTTGAAAACGCTTAGAAGTGCAGACTCTCTACTCTGCAGTGCTTTGTAACCTGACTGTAAAACAATGAGCATCCCTAAATATTTGGAAATTAATAAAAACACTTGCTAGGATTATTTTAATTGATGATGTGTGAGTCTGCTAAGCCCTAATAAACCGCAATCTGCTTGTGTGTATCAGAGCTGATGTTTTTCCAAGTAGTTTATCTAATTAGGATAGTTTGTCTGTCAGGATAAAAAGACCTCTTTGTTATGTAAGTGGCAAAGATTTGGAAAATGAATGAGACCAGTTTATTTGATCTAAGAACATAGTGTAATATTTTGACATTGCTGGAGTCATGGATGTCTCCTCCTGTACAAATGTGCAAAGATTTGATGATTTTGTGAATCATTTTATACAACATTCTGAAGTTGTATAAAATGGTTCTTCAACTGGGTTTCAGGGCACCTTTAACAAGAAGTGAACCTGGTTGGTAAGCAGCTGCCTTCTGTAACCCTAAGCAACTTCTCTGGTCAGAGTAAGATTACAGCCAGGTACTTAAGACCCGCAGAGCACAAGCACACTGCTCTTACCACCAGGCCAACCCCCCCTCAATAACAATATTGATAACTTGTTCAATCTGATGGGGCAGCAATCTCAAAAGAGACTCATAGACTTCCCTGTTCTCATACAGGTTCTCCATCACTGCTAGGGGATTCCCTAGGTATTCCAAGGCCTGCTAATAGCCCACCTAGTGGGAGATAAATATGCAGGAAATCTGCCAGTGTTCCAGTTTCATTAAGAAAGAGTCAGTCATAGAAATATATATTACAAAGACTAAATAATAAATAAAAAGTTTTGCACAACGTTCACTCACTGCGATGGACTGGCGACCTGTCCAGGGTGGACCCTGCCTCTCGCCTGTAGACAGCTGGAGATAGGCACCAGCACCCCTCGTGACACCACTTGGGATAAGCGTGTAAGAAAATGGATGGATAGATGGACAATGTTCAATCATTAGAATAATGAGTTTTCTTAAACCAGAAGTTTAACACCACTATTAAAGCCAATCTTATTCTAGGAAGATATAGCCTTGTGTTTGGAGTGAGATATGGAAACGTAGAGAGAGCTAACCATGCTTCATGCAGTGCTTCCTTACATACTTCCTCAAATGTAAACACAAACAGCTGATCTTGTTTATAAAAGTTTTAATGCCTGGAATTGCAACATACTGACAGCCAAACAGGCCAGGATCAAGTCAGAGGAACTAACTGAGGAGAATCACCTATCAGGAATCCCATAATGCATTCTGTTCAAGTGCTTCTAGCTCAGACATGACCTAGCTGGTTCATAGTTCAGACAGGAAGTCTGAATCCCTCATTTGTTTCATCAGAATTTTCTGAAAAGAGACGTGGAAAGAAAAAATACATTTAGAGAACGACAAAAGTAACACTTACACTACAGTTAATTATAGGACTGTACGAAAAACATATAAAAGGGACTGACATAACTAAAAGTGTTAATAGATGAGTTTTGTTTTGTTTTTCTACTGTGGATATCATAGAAAACTATGTTGGATTTTCAGGTCAAGGTTGGAACAAACCACTAAACCTCTTGGCTGCTTTTCTATGTCCATTGAACCAATCTATCTATTTTCTGTCACACTTAGCCCTGCTGGTGTCGTGCAGGGGGTGCTGGTGCCTATCTCTAGCTGTCAATGTGTGAAAGGAGGTTTACCCCCCTCCCAGGTCGCCAGGCAACACAGAGACACACAAAGATGCATACTGTGCACACACTTTAGAAAAACCAATTAACCTAACAGCATGTTTTTTGACTGAAGGAGGAAGCCGGAATACCCGTAGAGAACCTACGCATACACAGGGAGAACATGCAAATTCCATGCAGAAAGACCCCGGGCTGGGAATCAAACCTTTTTGCTGCAAGTCAGCAGTGCTACTCACTGCGCCACCTTTCTCTTTTTTTTCACCTACTTCACATGTACCTTTTTCTATTTCTCCTTATTTCTGTGTTTATTGCAGGAAAAAAGCAGACAAACAAAGGTCCTGCTTTGCTACAGTGTTAAATTGTGTAGGTATGGTGGTACTTAGATAACCTAATTAAATTTACTTCAGTAGTACTTCTTATAAAAGCAGCTGTTGCCAATGGTAAAAACAACATTTTCAGTAGCAGGAAAAAGTTTGGAACTAAGCAACCATTTTTTGTTACTGTGTAAAAGTATATACGTGAAATACCACTAATAAACTCTGAGGGCATATTTACATTTTATGGTTGCAATGTGGAGATGACATATGGGACACACCAATATTTATTTTTTATCTAATGTAAATAAGATACAAAGGTCTGAATTTGAATGAACCTATCAGCTACCAGCTAAATATTTGAATTAGAGTGTGATTAATTCATTTCTATAAAAGCTGCAGTGGAGGAAGCAGAATTCACTCAGGAGGTTAAGTGAACATCAGAGTGGAGCGAGGACCAACTGCTGAGGTGAGGGAGGATGTTGAACATGAACTAACAGAAAGTTTTCTTTTTTCTTTGCCTAGTTTCATTTCTGAAAGACCGTCATTAATTTGAGTATGTTGTTTACAACTATTTTCACTAACTGGATACTAACATTTTTTTTCCTTCCAAGATGCTGTGGAGTTTGGTTTTCGTCTGGGTTATAAGTAAGTGTCTCATTTTATTCAGCTGAATGTCTATCTCATTAATGTAAAAATATTACAGAGAGAAGTAAGAGTTCAGATTCACAACATCAGATCTACTTTGAAAGAGCTGAATCGTTTTTTCAAAGATTTTTAAAAATGTAAATATTAGCGTTATTTCAATAACTTCTCTGGAATTTACAGCAATCCAAAATGTAGCTGTGCAGACAACAGGTAGGATCAAATATTCTTTGTTAAACAGATCATTTCTGCTTAAATAAATCAAAATGTTAGATGAGCTATCTATAAGCTAAATGCAACAAAAATATCATTTATTTATTTTTTTTGTATTTGATCCTCAGATCTCTGTAACAAAATGAGCATAAGTCTGAAGGCAAAGAATGCATCCCAGTCCTCAACCTTAGACTGGATAAAGACTAATGGAGAACACGTACCATTGATCCCTCCCAGAGCCTTTGATGGGGATCCCAGAACATGTTGTCGCACCCAGAATCAGACTAACCCCTGGTGGAGGATTGACCTGCAGGGGATTTACAACATTTCTTGCATCTCTATCCATACCAAACGAAATGATGTAGCTAACATATCTGGAGCTCAGATCTACATCGGGAACTCCCTAGAGAACAACGGCACCAACAACAGGCTGTAAGAACAACATGATACAATAATGGGATTTATTTTATATTTTCCTATTGACCTTAAAATAATACTTTTAATAACATGACTATGTATTCCATGTAGTTGTTTTTAATTATTTGTCTTTGGAGGCAGTTTTCAAACATGGAAGTATATTTTTTGCCTGAAAGTCCCAGAAAGCTGAAAGTCATTGAAGTTTTTAAAATGGAAGCATCACAATCTCACTGCTTTCTTTAGGTGTTCCTTCTTCTGCATCTTTTGTCACAATAATGTTCAGTAGTATTCAGTGTCTGATCAGCTGTATGTTTGAATATTTTTCCTCATCCAGGGTTTACAACATCACAGAGCAAGGACAGGAGATAAACTATGAAAACCTTAATATGATTGCCTTCAGCTTTCCCACATCAGCGTTGGGGCGATACGTCACTGTCTTCAGACCAGGCCAAAATCATCTGGTTCTTTGTGAGGTGAACATCACTGGTATGTTTGATTTAATTTACCCCCATAAAGGGAAAAACATAAAATTATTAGAAGCTGCAGATAGTTTGATGCTTAAATGTCTCAATATTTTAACTTGGACATTTTTCAGATATATCAATACACTTTTAAGCTATATGATCTTTTTTGTTCATTTATATTTTTTCTTAAGTATAAGAAGTTAAGGTTTGATTTGGTACTTTACAGAAAAATACAAAGTACAGGGAAAAAATACAACAAAATGTAAAAAACAACAAAACACAACCTAAATGAATCAAAACACCTCGAGGTCTGCTACATATATATATTAAAATGATTAAGTGATTTTATTAGTTTGACTGATTTATCCTTTTATCCATATTTTTAAATGGTACTCGAAGTTCTGTTATTTTAAAGATACAGTAGCAGCTATTCAAAATGGTCCTTCCCTGTCAAACAGCAGCCAAATGACAGCAGACTTCCCTGCAACTCCCAGCCATTGCAGTGACCTCCTCCTTCTCCTGGGAGTGCATTTTTTTCTTTTCGGGTCCACCCTTTCATTGTATTACAGGGTAGATGCCTGCGCGGGACAGATTTCCCAGTCCCACCCCCGCCCGCTCTCGCAGTGTTCAGTCCCGCGCTCCCGCCCACACCTGTAATAGTTTGTCCCGCTCCCGCCCGCAATTTCCGTATGACTCCAACGTTCGCATAGTGCTCAAGGCAATACGAGTTATTAGTTTGAGTAATTAAACACACTGTGCTTAGCTGAGCACATTACTGGCGGATTCTTCACCGCATAGTGTATGACACGCGTTAGGTGGCACGAGCTTCACAGCAATGCCCAACTAACCTACCAAAATCTACTGAGGATATTAAGAATAATATATTGTGCATAATCTTATATGGCACTCATCATCACATTCACGTATGAAATAAAAATATAATAAGTTAATATTGGTAATTTTACACACCATATGATGGAGCCCCACCCAGCACATTGTGATGTAGGCCTATATATGATAGACATAGATTGATAAATTATGACTTTATTTTACATTTTAAAACACGTTTTTAGTTTGCGGGACTGCAGCTTATCACCACTCCCGTCCGCATCCGAACTGTGCGTTCTCCCTCCCGCACCCGCAATGAACATTTAATATTTGTCCAGCGCCGCACTGCTTTGCGTTGGGTCCCGTGAGTCCCGCGGGAGTGCAGGGCTCTACTGCAGGGTCTGACCAGGCACTTCTCTTAAGATATTAATGTCCACCAATTATGACAGAAAGAACATTTTGGTACAAAGATCTATGTTTAAAAAGGAATTGTAGGGGACCAGCCAAGGGCCCATCAAGGAAAGTGGGGAGATTTTGAATGGCTACTACTGTATAAAAGGAGGGTATGTTTTTTTTTTTTTTTTTTTGGCAAATCATTGTAGATAATATTTTGCTAGAATTATAATAATATATTTTTTATTGGTTGCTAAATTTGGATAAGTTACTATAAGAAGCATTTCTAATTTGCTCAAAAAAATATCCTTCATTTATGGAATATACATCTTTGCAAGTAGAAATAGAAAGAACATGACATGGACATGGACATAATCAATGGTTTCTAATTTACATTCACTAAAAAGGTACAATTGTTACTTACAGAAGAAAAAATACTTACATTTGCTTCAGACAAGTAATAAAACTGACGTACAATTTTGAAAACAACCTCTTTGACTTTGTTCATAACAATATGTCGATCAGGTAATAGGAATATGAAGTTCCAGAGTTTCCTGTCCATAGGACTCCATCTGTGTTTACAGATAGAGGTAGACTGGCAAAAGCTGGTTCCTGATAAAAAACTTTAAAAACTTCAGCTATAATAGAGAACCAAGTGATACAGGCAGAGAGGTAGCCATTATAATGCTTTGTGCTAAAGAGACAATACTGATGGGAAAATAACTGATCACCATGTTAAACTCTTCTCTAGAAGTATATATATATATATATATATTCCATAACATGAGGACCTCTTTTTTTCATGACATACTAAATTTAAAACAAAGAAACACAAAATTATGTATTAATAGTTCATTGTTCCTGCTGTATTATGTACTGACTAAATAAACTGACGATTTTGGGTTTCTTACACATGATTAAAGACATTTTAATAAAATATAATAAAACAGAATTTTAATAATCACTCATGGAGATGTCAAGCTTTCATTTAAAAACAGGATATGTTACCTTCCTGTTTGTGAAGCAGAAGCTAGCTATGATTTATAGTGAGGCTGCCGTAGTAGATGTTTGGAAACACTGCATCATAAAGCAAGGTTTAATGAAGATTAATTTTTACCAGCATCCATTTTGTCTGATTATTACATCTGCACCAATAAACTACATCTGATCAAAACAAGACTGTGTGGAAATGTGCTAAAACCCTAACGATGGTTGTTCCTCTGCTGATGCTCCCTCTGATCAATACATCCTCTACCACATCTGCTCACCTCCCTGAAAAACAACAAAGACACAGTTTTATTATCCCAGCTGCAAAGTCAAATGGCAACAACAAGTGCTAAAATATGTTTTGAATCGATTCATTGGAAGAAAATGTAAACTGTATCCTAAAATAAGGCCTTTGTATGGTGGTAGGTAGCAATTATGTGTCTGGATGTGCCAACCAGTCAGGAGAAAGGGATCAGAATCAGTGGCTTATCTAAGAACACTGATTAAAAATAAGATGATGTACTTTAACCAATAGTTTGACCTAGTTTACTCCATCACTGACCACCCTGCTCATTTCTCAGCTATTTCTATCCTGAAATATGTCCGTTAATTATTCTTAATCTATCATTCTGTCTCAGTTTAGGGATCATCAACTTTAAGGCATGATTACAAATACTGAATAAAAATAAAACAAATGCAAATGAAAAAATAGCCACTTGGTTAATGTTATGGTGTTAAATCACTTTTGTTTAAACATAAGTTCTTTAAAAGCATGGAGAATACGATAAAAGACTTATTATACACTTTGGTGATCCTATGCATCACACTTCAGTAGTTAATCGAGTCAGTCTGGTTAATTCAACTAAAAATCTGAAATGATTGGTCTTCACAATAACATTTCTCTTTAATCATGATACTTATGCTGCTCTCTCAGATCTGTTGTCTGTCTAAGCAACTTTAACTCAAATTAATTTAACCATGTCATTATCATAGTCAGTAGAAAAGTTAAACATGCTTTCTAGTAGTTTGATGGT